CTATTCGTATCCGGGTCGCTTTTTCTATCCGGTTTGTACTAGTTGTGCATGACACGAATTCGGAGGCGGTTGCATTTAGTTCGCGGATTGAATAACTATCCTTCCCACCCCCACCCCTTCCATCCCTCCAAATAACCATTGATCGACCTTTCAATAGGTTAGTTGATATTTGAAGGATGTGTTATAGCCTATCCTCAAATTATCACGTGATCCGCTTTCATCGTTTTATTCATTTTTTTCTGTATACTTTGGGATGACGAAAAATGATTTCTATGGTTTATGAATGGCGGTGGTTATAGATTAATGAAATTAACTCTCTCCCTCTCTCTGGTTAGAATTCATATGAATGTGCCATATATAGGTCTATAACCGAGTCGATAAACCATTGGCAGTTCACTTAGGGGAGTTGGCTAAAACCCTGATTCCAAAGCCAGCACGCAGGGGCGTACGAACTACGCACACACCTTCCTGGTCGTGGTAGTGGTCACCGGCACAATTCTGCATCAAGATGTATGGGATACCTTGGATGTTTGGGTCTGGCTTTGGATAGCCGAAGACTCCGGTTGAGAATTCTTTAAGAAAACTCATCTCCATTGGCCTGGGCAACCTGGCAATATTACGCCAACATGCCAATCATGGATCCTTTCTCTCTTTGTTTGGCACGGAATCTGGTATCAGAATTGTCTAACTTGATGAACCCTGTTTTTTTTTATTACACATTTTAGTGTGGTGAACAATAGACGGGATGAACCCCATAGTATCGAGCTCCTGCTGTTCTTTGATGGAAGCCGGTAACCCAAGCCCAGCGGGAAGTGGTGAACCACATAAGACCCTGATAGGTTAGGCGTGGTATTGAACCTGGTTTTCGAGTTTGGGCACTAAAAATTACTGTGCATATCCTCTTGGTCCTCTCAGGCGTACATTGTTTGCCAAGAAAGGTGGCTGGTGGAAGAAGTTCAAGGATGTTGAGGTCTTAACCATGAACAGAAAACTTCATATGTTCGATTGTGCTAAGTTCCTCGTTTGGGCACTACGATGGATTAAAAAAAATGAAAAGTCATACATGACAGTGATTGACCCAAGTCAGAAGCTCGTCTTTATGGGTTTAAAATTAGTTCGATTCGGATTTTCTTCTTCTCAGTTAGAATACGAACCAGATAGGATATCGTTGAATCACGATAATCCTTTATTATTACCCTCCTATGTGTGATGAACCCCAGGTGGAGCAAACCCCATAGTCACGAGAACCCACTGTTCAGTAGTGTAAACCGGTAACCTAAGCCCCGAACTTGGAGTGGCGAACCACATAAGACCCCGCTAGGTTAGGCATGACAGCAGAGCTGCCTACCACCAAAGTCGGATGGTATTGGAGGGTCTCGAACCTCAAACCATAGGATCCAAAGCACACTGGTGACATCTGTGATGCTATTCATTACTATTGCCAATCCGTATTCTCAACCGAGGTGTGATGCTCGGAAATGTTTTTTTTTGTGCAACACGTGAGTTTTCGCGGTCAGTGGTCGATCTCAACTCTCTCTCTTTCTCTTCTGTTTATTAGAACTGGACGTGGAACTCGTCGGAACCGGTTCGATACACCGATTGGTTTATCCCACCCACCCCATCGCCTAGCGGCTGCTATGTGTTCCATTCCAATCCGCACCACCACGACGATCCGATGTCAATCAGTGGTTTGGGTAGCTTGCGACCTGAATCCACATGCGAAGCGTTGCATTATGCTATCTGTCAAACCGTGGCTAGTCGCTCGCAACCCGCCAGTGCAGCATCTTCAGCGCTGACCACAATGCCCGCGACTCGGTTCGTTGATGCCGACCGAATACCGTCTAGGCCGTCGTGTTTCCGCTTGGATGAGACCAGGCCTAACTCATTGGAATACCGTACCGATGTGGTCCGGAGTGTATCTGCCAAACCGTGTATTCGGTAAATTTTGAATTTGACATAAGCGTCATGTGTTCTGGTGGAGGAGGTTTTGGGCTTAACTGAATGATGTTTCTACTTTAAACGTTATGTTTTTGCTGATCTACGAGAACCGATTTTCAAAATTTCGTCAACATTTTTCGGGCGTACAACGCTAAAAGCAGCTCGCCGATGGGAGGTTTTCGCCTGCCGAGAAGTCTCCACTCGCGAGCAGCTATTTTTTCTTCACGAATGCCTACGGCGCAATCTGCTTCCACGGAGCGTATACCACAGACCACCGATCAATCACCCGGAGCCCTGGAGGATTTCACACCAATTCGGAAGGCGCATGGTGCGCATGATGATCTCGGATGCTCACAGCTTGAAGATGCAATAAGTCGACGCGTCAAAAATGTCAAAAGAAAAAGAAA